TGGGTGGGTGGGTGGGTGGGGAGGTGGTGTTGGGAATGTTGTGGACGGAATTTGTGTTGAGTGTAGACAGAATGGGACTTGAACTAGAGAGGAAGGTCGTCAAGGCCCTTCCAGATCCAGGAAGACTGGGAGGGAGGGAGAGGAGGGAAGGACCCCACCTCTAGCAAGGGCAGGTCTGAGCGTCAAGTGCAGGAGAGGCTAGATTTATCCTGCTTAATCCCATTGGAGGAAAGTTTCAGGATTTCAGCTCAACATAAGACCAAAAAGCCAAAGCTTCCTGTTAGAGGTGTCCCAGAGGGGAATGCATCACCTCGAGAGGCAGGAGAGGCCAAGGACTTGGGTTCCTGTCCCTGCCTTGCCATGGCCCTGCCCCTCTGGTATGTCATATGGGGGAGCCCCACCAGAGGGCCTCTGGGGTGGGGTGCAGCTTTCCTTCTTCCTAGCTAGCAGCCCTTCAGAATCTGCTACATGAGGTCTCTCCCTTGGTGTCATGGTCAGGCAGAAATGGTCGGCCCGTGCTGGGCTGGGGTCACTGACGGGAGCTCAGTCTTCGGTTCCTGCTTTTGGGAGAGCGTCTGCCCGTCAGTTTTGCTAGCAAGCCCCCTGGAGTCACTTCTGGTGGGTCCTTTTGGCCAGCCCTTGGCCTGTCATAATGTTCCTGAGCTGACCCTCCTTCTGCCCAGCAGCCTGGTGCCATTGCTGATGGTGTGCTGGACGTGGTAGGCAGAGCTTCCTCTGAGTCAGCGCAGGACAGGTGTCAAGGGCAGGAGTGAGCAGCATCTGTTGGGGTCCTGGGTGAAGGAGGGGGCAGGTCTAGCCACCCACCCTTACGTGTGGTTGAGTCACTGATGTGGTTGAGGAATGATTTTAGAAATTTGATGTTTCCATAGGAAGTTGCTGTTTTCACTGCTTTTCTTTCGGGGGGATTCCTCGAAGTCAGGTTTCAGCAGTTGGGTAGTGGAGGGGGCTCTGGGGAAGGAGGCAGAGGCTTTTACTTCTTTGGAAGCAGAGATCCCAACCTCTGTGGGTCACATGCTATCTTCCTTTTGTATTTCTGTCTAAGCACTGTGTCCCTTTTTTCTAATTGCATCTCTGTATCTTCAGAGGTTAGTGCAGTAGACCAGTGGGTACAATATTTCACGGGGTTAGGAGGACCTGAGTTCAGATGTGGCCTCAGATAATATTCTGAGCTAGACCCTTAGTCTCTGTTTCCTCATCTGTGAAATGGGGATAATAATAGCACTGGTCTCTTAGAGGTAACACATATAAAGTGCTTTGCAAACAAATCTCTAAGTGCTATATAAATACTAGCTCTTATTGTTATTAATAATAAACAATCTTGCTTCGTATTTGGTGAATTCAGTGTAAGATGGTCAGTTATCTAGCATTTATTAACTACCTACTATATGCCATGCACTATGCTAGGCTCTGGGGGTACAAAGAATGGCACAAACCAGACCCTGCTTTCGAGAAGGTTCGCAGTCCGGGGGGGGAAACCCCTTGCACACAGTAGGTGCAAATAAGAGATGTATCAGAGAAATTGGAGGTAGGTGCTGAGATTAGGGAGGACTTGGAGAAGTGTCTGGCAGAAGCTGGGATGTCAGCTGAGACTTTAAGCAGGAGGCAGTGATGAGGAGGAAGGGAGGGCATTCAGCCAGTGAGCGTGCTCAGAGCCCAGAGTGGGGGAGGGAGAGCACATGGGAGGGATAGCAGGGAGACCACCGGAACTGGAGAAAGGTGTGAGGAGCCTGGAAGGGGAAAAGGGGGGGTTTTCATGTTTGATCCTGGAAATTGACAGAAGCCACTGGAGTTTGTGGAATGGGGTGTGTGTGTGTGTGTGTGTGTGTGTGTGTGTGTGTGTGACATGATCAGTTGTGTTTTACAAATATCACTTTGATATTTGAGTGGAGCTGAGTGGAGGATGGGCTGGAGTGGGGAGACACATGAGGCAGCTGACCCCCTTCCTCAGCAGCCATTGCTGTAGTCCAGGGGGAAGGGAATGAGGCCTGCACCGAGGTGGGGGCTGGGGCAAGGGAGAGGAGGGATATTGGGAAGGAGAAATCAACAAGACATGCCCACTGATCAGATGGTGGAGGGCGAGCCTGGGTCACCAGGAGGATGGTGGAGCCCTTGGCAGTACTAGGGAGATCTGGAAGAGGAGAAGGTTTAGGGGGAAGAGAACGAGCTTAGTTTTGGACTGTGAGTTTCAGATTCCTATGGGTAATCCAGTCCGAGATGTCTTAAGAGGCAGCTGGAGATGGGAGACTGGAGGTTAGGAGAGCATCTGGGGCTAGACAGGTCAGTCTGAGAATCATCAGCATGGAGGCGGTAGTTGAAGCCATGGGAGCTGATGGGATCCCCAAGTGAAGTAGTCTAACATGCGGCTTTATTTGAAGACTTTTGAGTTCCAAATTCTATCCTTCCCTTCTTCCCCTTCCCCCTCCTTGAGATAGTAAGCATTCTGATAGAGATTATAAATGTGCAGTCATGTAAAACATTCCATATTAGTCATTTTGTGGAAGAAAACCCAAACCAGAAAAAAAACCCGAAAAAATGTGAAAAAAATAGTCTGCTTCGATCTGCATTCAGACTCATTGGTTCTTTCTCAGGAAACAGCATTAATGAAGGGCTCTAAAAGGAGAAGAGAAGAGGGCCCAGGCCAGAGCCTTGTGGAACCACCAGGGTTATCAGGTGTGCCCTGAGGAAGATCCAGTAAAGGGGCCTGAGAGGGAGTGGTCAGAGAGGTAGGCAGAGAGCCAGGAGAGAAGGTCACTAAAACCTAGAGAGGAGAGGCTGATTAACCGGGTTCAAGGCTGCAGAGAGGCCTAGGATGAGGGATGAGGGTGGAGGAAAAGGCCACTGGTTTTAGAATGGAAATGAATAGAAATTGTCCAGTTGTGAGCCTTCTGCCAGACTTCCTGCTCCGTGAGGGCAGGGCTATGGGTAAGGAGCTAGAAGGGAGCTGGCAGTGCTTTGGAATCAGAGGATGTCAATTCCAAACCTGCTTCTGATGCTCACTCCCCATCTGCCCTAGACCAGTTTGTGAGCACATCTGTAAAAGAAGGGGGTGTGGGCTGTGGGCTGTGCGGCTTCCTTTCCAGCTCTCCATCAGTGATGCTATTTAAACTGTATCTCTGCCAGTGTGAGCAGCAAAGTGGCTTAGGAGACAGAAGCCTGGGTTTGAGTCCTCACTACCTGCGACTTTAGGAGCTCTGGGCCAGTCAGACCCACAGCACATGGGCCACAGGCAGCCAGTTGTGCTCCTGAGTGCCGCCAGAACCAGATTAAAATGCTGTTGGAAAATACCTAACAAAATAAATAAAAATGCAATAAGACGTGTAACATGACATTTAAAAAAATCGATCTACATGTGGCCCACAGGGATCCTGAAATATCTACCTATGGCCCCTTGAGTTTGCCGTCCCTGCTCTGGGCAATGCCTCAAGGCACTAAGCTGTGGTTTGGGAGAGGGAGTTTCTGAATCTGGGAGTTCATTCCCCAGACTGATTAAGTTGTCGTCCTTGTCCTCAGACCTGTCTGCCAGCACAAATATTGTTTTTTTTTAAATTAATTTATTTTGATTTATCAACAATCACTTCCATATGCTTTTGAATTTAAAATTTGTCTCCCCCTTCCTCCCCCCCCAACCTCCCCAAGACTGCACACAATCTGATATAGGCTATACATATACATTCCTATTAAACATATTTTCACATTAGTCATGTTGTAAGGAAGAATTAGAACCAATAGGAGAAACCACCAGAAAGAGGAAACAAAATACAACAGAAGAGAAAAAATAACAAATAGTCTGCTTCGATTTACATTCAAACTCCTTGGTTCATTCTTTGGATGTGGATAGCATTTTCCCTCACAAGGCCTTTGGAGATGTCTTAGATCCTTGTATTGCTGGGAAGGGTTCAGTGTATCAATATTAGTCATCTCACAGTGTGGCTGTTACTGTGTACAAAGTCCTCTTGGTTCTGCTCACTTCACTCAGCACCAGACCATACAAGTCTTCCCAGGTTTTTCTGAAGTCAGCCTGTTCATCATTTCTTATAGCACAGTAGTATTCCGTTACATTCACATATCACAACTTGCTCAGCCATTCCCCAATGGATGGGCATGCTCTCAATTTCCAATTCTTTGCCACCACAAAAAGAGCTGCTATGAATATTTTTGTACATGTGGGTCCTTTTCCCACTTGTGTGATCTCTTTGGGATACAGCCCTAGAAGTGCTATTGCTGGATCAAGGGGTATGCACGACAAGTATTCTCATGAACACAGGAGGCACTCAGGCGATTGCCTGGTCCTGGGAATTCTTTGTTTTGAATTTCCAGGCCTGAGCACGAGTCTGCTCTGTTCATTCAAGCGATGCTGTCTTCGTGCCTGGTGGTTCTTGGGTGCTTGGCTGCGTGGATCGTTTATATCGAGATTGATTGAGAACAGGCAGCCCTGGACAAAGGAGCAGGAAAGCCTCTGTAGGATACAGGCACAGGTGTCCTAAAGGAGGCATTTCCTCACTTTGCTGCCAGTAGCTGAATTGTCAAAAAAAGTCCCGCGTACAGATGTTCTTCCTTTTCCATTTCCCGTCCCTGTTTTGTAGCTTTTGGGTTTTTGGTTTTTTTGGGGGAGGGGCAGAGATGGTCCTTTTTCCTGATCCTCTAACATGTAGTATCCAGTTGTTGTGATTCGGATTTATGAGAAAGGGGAGGCCTGGTGATTCCAGATGTTGATGGCTTTGGGGAAGCAGATGTTCTCGTGGTCTAGGAAACAACTCAGAACAGTTGGATCTTGGCGCACCCCTCCCCCTCACCATTGTTGGTCTTGCTGGGGGGGAGACATTCTCTTGGGTGATAATAGTGAATGGTGCTGGGACGAAGGGTCAGTCTTTGACTTCTGATGGATTCTCCTTCACGTTGCCCGAGGTCATTGAGTCATCCTGCTGAATGTACGGGAAGGAGCCTGACTTTGAAGGTGACTCATGATTTTTGTCTTCCAGAGGCTGAAGCTCAGAGTGACTCACCATGTCCCAGTCAGGAGATAAGAAGGTAAAGTCTTTGTGTTTCGTAATTAAAGGTTGGAAAAGTGCATTCTGTCACTGCAAAGCTAGAACTTCTCCAGAGGTGTCACTGATCTGAACTAATCTGTGAAGTTGCAGTGATTCTGATAAAACTTAGAACCTTAGGATTCAGGTTGTACATCTGCATATCATTAGAACGATGGAGATTCAGCAGAGAGAGAGATACACTTTTCTTTTTCCTTTAGTACGTAGAGTTGTTGTAGATTGCAAAGGTAGGAAGATTAGGAAAAAAAATCTTTTGAGATAAAGAGTCTTGTAGGCATTCCTCAAAGAGAATGAAGGAAACTTGTCATTTTTTTTTTATGAATTAAGTATCTATGGATGAGTTTCGTACACACCTGTTTGCTGTTTTCAGTAATAGACCGTCCAGCTCTTTGCTTTCAGGCTGGCAGCTCTCTGTGGCTGTTGTTTCTGAGTGTATTCACCAGGTGGGTGCCAGAGCTCTTCAGGGAGCAGCCTGAGTTATAGGAGGCAGTGCAGTATAATGGGAATTGAGTCAGAAGACCTGGGTTCAAATTCTGGCCCTGACACATACAGGCGAGGTGATTGTGAGCGAGTGCTTGACCCTTTCTCAGAGTCTGTCTTCTCATCTGTGAAATGGAGATGTGCGTTGCCTTCCCTCCCTCCGAGGGTTAGTATGACAAGTGCTTTGTAACCCTTGAATCCAGGTAGAAGTGTCAATTACTGTTCCTGTTATTGCTGCTTACCTTTGCTTGGTAGGACTGGAGCGGTGGACTGTGGCTTATCATTCAGCTGCTGGAGAGGACCTTACTTTGGGAGACTCGCATTTTTTATTTGCAGGTTTCATCCCTGGAGTCTCTGCAGATCCGTGGGGCTTTTAAACTCTCCTCCCCTCAATGTGGTTCCTGGTCCTTGTGGACAAAGGGCAGCTCAGGTCACATCATGTCTCCTCAAATCACCTTCATTTTGCCCAGGACCTGGAGGTTGTGACCCCAGGAACTTCGGGGGCAGCTTGCTGGGCTGGGGGCAGCAGCCCCGTCACACTGTGGTCTCCTGACCTCCAGGCTTTCCTCTGTCCATGATTCCCTCCTGTCTCTCATGGAATATATGAGGAAGTCTTTTTTTTTTTTTAAGAATTTATTTAGTATTTTATTTTTCCCCAATTACACGTAAAAGCAATTTTTAACATTCGTTTTAAAAACCCTGAGTTCCAAATTCTCTCCCTTCCTCCTTCCCCACCCCCCTCATTGAGAAGGCGAGTAATTTGATATAGGTTGTGCGTATATAGTCATTGAAAATATATTTCCTTATTAATCATATTGTGAAAGAAAACATAGACCACAAAAAAAGTTCAAGAAAAATAAAGAAAGTGAGAAAAGTCTGCTTGAGTCTGTATTCAGACTCCATCAGTTCTTGTCTGGGGATGGATAGCGTTTTTCTTCCCAAGTCCTTCAGAGCTGTCTGGAATCATTGTGTTGCTGAGAGTGACCTGGTCAGTCACAGCTGATGGCTGCACAGTGCTACTGCCACTGTGTACCCAGGACTTTGCATCAGCCCATGCAAGTCTTCCCAGGTTTTTCTGAGAGCTCCTGCTCATCATTTCTTAGAGCACCATAGTATTCCATCACAATTGCATTCTGCGGCATATTCCACCATTCCCCAGTGGATGGGCCTCCTGCATTCCAGACCCTACAGCTTCCCCTGAAGGTTGCCGTGAAGAGGTGATGAATTTGTCTCCTGGAGGCTGCCTAGATAGTCCTTTCCCTGGCCATGTTCTTGCTCCTTCGTATCCAGCCTTTTTAACTAGTACTGTCCTTCTTGGGTCTCTTCCCAACCTCACCCTGCCCTCCCATGATGCATCGGGATCCCTTGTCCTCCTGGTAACAAACTATGGTCTTCCCATCCTCCTCCATCTTTTTGTGATTGCAGAAACCTGGCTGTCCCCTGAAGACCCTGCAGGCCTGACCGCCTTGTCCTTTCTCTCCTAGCCCTGGTGCTCTGGGCTGGGGGGGGGGGTAGGAGGCAGTGTGTGCCTTGTAGCTCCCTGACACAGCCAGCCCTCCCTTAGCTGGAATGCTGTACCCACACCTGCTGGCTGCCTCCATACAGTACGATTTTGAGCATTACGTGGCTGGAATCCACACGTCCCCAGTTTTCTGTTTTACCAGTGGCTCCCCTGCCCATGTAGTGATGGGATGAGTCATGCTTGGTGAATGGAGCAGGGAGAGCCAGGGGTGGGCATCCTTCAGTGACTGTAGGGGGGAGCCTGGGGAAGGCTGGCAGGGGAGGGCGGGGATGGGGTGAGCAATGCTGCAGCCCCTAAACGCCCCGCTTGGTCTGAGGCTCGGTGGGACCCCACTCACGTAGCACATGGAATGAATGTCCTTAGGACCGTCAGGGCATCACCGTCACGCTGACCTCTGTGCTGAGAATGTTGTGTTCTTCTAATTAATTCAGTCTTCTTTTCCAGCTTCCTTCTGAGACAGCGGGCTACGTGGGATTTGCCAATCTGCCGAACCAGGTGCACAGGAAGTCCGTGAAGAAGGGTTTTGAATTCACCCTCATGGTGGTTGGTGAGCCCCTTTCCTTATTGGGGCTCCAGGGGGCCTTCTGCTTTCAGTACCAATATAGGTTCAGTTCTAATTAGAATGAAATGTACCCCAAGAGCTGCTGCTGTCAGGGTGGCTGCAGTGCCAGGACCGAGCCCACTGTGATGATGTGTGGTGGGTGTTTCTCTGAAGATTTGTCCTTCCACATACTTTCAGCTGTTCATATTAAATTTAGACTAGACCCTCTTATTAATCATGAAACAGGCGTGTCTGAAGTGTGGATCAAGTGTTAGGCCTCTTCTGAGGAGCACAGGTGAGCCAGCGGCTCTGCTCAGGAAATGTTCCTTTGAATGGAGAAGACCACATACATATGTGTAGCGTGTAGAGATGCTGGGCACCATGAGTACAGAGGGCTCTGGGGAAGGAGTGTGATGGCAGCTGGGGGTGATGAGGGGCCTGCAGAAAGGTGAGAGGGAATATGTGCGTGATGCGGGGGGCAGCCAGTGCAAAGGCGTGGAGGTGGGAGATCCCCGGGGCTGAGGAACAGCCAGTTTGCTGGTGTGGCAGGATCGTTGAGCATGGAGAGGGGATTAGTGTGTGGTCAGGCTGAAAAGGCGGGAAGGGGCCGAATGGTGACGAGCCTGCAGAGGTATTCACCTGGGATCCTGGGTCTCATCTGACTTTGGCCTTCACCGAGGTTCTCTCCTCATGCATTGAGGTGGGTTGGAGGTGACTTTGGTCCCCTGGTGTTAACCTTGGCCACCTTCCCACAGGGAGAGGCTCTGTGGACACACCTCACAGGGGGGCTGGGTGTTGGGTGTTGGGTCCCCTGAGGGCCAACCTGGCTGACCGTGGAAGAAAGTATGTCTGTCTGTCAGGGGTAGATGTCTTGGAGAGATCAAGGAAAAAGTGTTATGGGAATTTTAAGAAGGAAGGGAGAACTCAGGGGGGGCTTCACAGAGGAGGTGGCATCTAAGGTGAGCCTGGATTGATGGAGGGAGGGATTTCTGCAGTTGTGAGGCGGGGACAGGGAGTGGTGGTGTCCATTCAAGCATGAAGGAGTGGTGTGAGCAGGGGTGGAGAGGCGGGATAGGACAGATGAGGATGGGGGATGGAGAAGGGCCCAGAGATGTGAGGGGGGCCAGTACAAGGTAGGGTTTGCACAGGTAGAGGGCAGGTAAAAGGCCTTGAATGCCAGGGCCGGGAAAGGATAGACTCTAGGAGGTAGGTGTTACAGGGCTTTGGGCAGAGGACGCCCGTCACAATGGAGGAGCAGTAGGAAGCTTACTCGGGTGGCACCGAGGAGGTGCTGGAGTGGAGAGGGAGGGGAGGCCAGAGGCCTGGAAGTGCTGAGGACCTCGGTGAGGCCAGCGCCTCCCTGTTCTTCCTCATTCAGGCCTGTGTGAGGCCCCGGGAGGCCCCGGGCAGCCGGTGGAAGGACGGAGGTGGAAACGAGCACAGTGAGCTGGTTGGCCGAGACATTAAACAGCGTTAAGGCCAGGAGAGACAGCGTGGCCCTAGGCTGAGTGCCAGAGACAAGTCCAGCGGGTCCGTCGTGGAAGTGAAGCCAGACCCTGCACCTAGTCATCTTCGCTTTCTGAAGCGGTCTTTCCACGCGCGTGGCCTCCAAACAGCAAGTGGCAAGGCGTGGGCTCCGAAAGCGAGGTCTAAGCATGTCGCCAGGCGGGCAGCATCATGGCGCTCAGCTGGTGCGACCTGTCTGCACATGGATGGGTGGCCACTGACTACCCAGATGTGGAAGACAGAAGGATAATTCAAAGCTGCGCTGAGATCGCTTCAGACAGTCTGACCTGCCCACACGGCCTGGGTGCTTGGGAGCAGCTGGGGTGGGGGGGAGTCGGTGCCAAAGAGCAGGCTTATAGTCCCCTGGGAGCGTCTGGCTTTCTAGTACAGGACCTGAGGCTTTATTCACATTTGTCATGTGTTTCTTTTTGAATTTTCTGTTGATCTTTTGTTTTTATGTCATCTTCATTTCCTCCTTCATGCACAGTCATCCCCCATAACAAAGAAAGAAAAGAGGGGAAAAAAGAATTAGCTGGCACGCTATCATCGTCGTCGCCATATGTTTGTAAGCACCTACTGTGTGCCAGGCTCTGGGAGTGCCAAGAAGGTCCCTGCCCTCCAGGAGCTCACCGTCTCGGGGGGAGAGCGAGGGCGAATGGGAGGACTCTAGTCCCATGGCACATTCTTTTGGCACGTGTGTTTTAGCCAGCGTGGTCCAGCCTTTGTGGCTGATGTATCTTTGTGAGTGGATGAGAGGAAGTGAGGAAGTGGATGGCAGGTAGAGAGAGCTCTAGGAGAGTCGTCGTCACCGGGCTGTGGCTGGCTGGGCCTTCTCCTTCTTGTCTGGCCTGGCTGTTGTTTGTACATGACCCCTGGGCTCCTCTGGTTCCAGACAGGCAGTCATTGGGGGTTTCTGTGATGTAGTCTTTTGCAGACCCCCAAGCCTCTAGCATTCAGTACCACTTTGTTTGACTCTCACAATGACCCTGGGAAGTAGATGCTATCATTATCCCCATTTTATGCATTAGGAAACTGAGGCAAAAAAAGGTTACGTGACTTGCCCAAGGTCACAGAGCTAGGAAGTGTCTGAGACCAGATTTAAACTCAGTCTTCCTGTCTCCGAGCCCAGTACCCTACCCACTGTGCCACCAGGCTGCCACGATTGGGTCCTCTTCTGGATGGGAGTATATCCCAAAGAAAATCAAAATGGCGATAGCGTGCAAGATTGGCCTGGTATACCAGTATGTGTGATCCTTCCTGTCCGAGGGCATTCTCCCTTCATGTGGGAAGGGCCAGCAGCAGACAGGCATCATCATGACAAACCGACGGTCAGTAAACATTACTGAGCACCCGCTGTGTGTGAGGCCCCGTGCTAAGGGATGGAGATACAGAGAAAGGCACAAGACGGTCCTGGCCTGGGCATCCCGGAGACCTCTGACGGGGCGTACTCTCCACACATCTGCTGGCCGTGTTGCCTGGGTATGGACAGCAAGAGCTCTGAAGGTAGAGTCTAGCGGTCTGTGTCTTTTCTGGTCACAGTGCAGCAGAAATCACCCTGGCAGAGAGATGAGTGTTGTTGTCCCGTTCAGAAGAATGCAAGACCAGGCGTTTCTGGATCTCTCTTAGAACCTCCACTTCAGCAGACTTGGGTCTAGGGCTTGCTCCCTGAGGAAGAGAAGGGGATGCTCTGGAGACCCAGACCCTGGTGAGCTTATGCCGGCTACATCCGTGAGGATACAGAGTGAGGAGAGGGGCATATGGAGACCCAAACCCTGGTGAGCTTATGCTGACTTCATCCGTGAGGATACAGAGTGAGCAGAGGGGCATGTGGAGACCCAAACCCTGGTGAACTTATGCCTGCTATATCCATAAGGATACAAGAAGAGCAGAGGGGCATGTGGAGACCCAAACCCTGGTGAACTTATGCTGGCTACATCCGTGAGGATACAAGAAGAGGAGAGGGGCATGTGGAGACCCAAACCCTGGTGAGCTTATGCCGGCTACATCCGTGAGGATACAGAGTGAGCAGAGGGGCATGTGGAGACCCAGACCCGGTGAGCTTATGCCGGCTACATCCGTGAGGATACAGAGTGAGGAGAGGGGCACATGGACAATTCCTCCAGGGCTGCCGGGCCTCAGAGGCCCTAGTGCCCAAGCAGGACTTCAGGGCCCTCCGAATGGAAGGCTTCTTCTTTGGGGACTGTCTTCTCACTGCACCACCTGCTTCTGAATTGCTTCGGGGAGCAGCGGCTTGTCCTCTTGGGGAGGGTTTGCTTTGTAGACACAGTCAACAATAGCTTGTGGCCGGTTCTGATAAACAAGACTGGGGATCAAACCAGGCAGTACTGGTTGTGATTTTTTGAGAAGGAGGTGTGGCCCAGGAGTGTTTTTCCTCTTGTGTCCTGCCTGGGCTCCCAAGGTGGATTCCAGACATACTTCCAGCTGTGGTTCCTTGGTTAGTATTAAGAGTTAAGCCCAGCCCGGGGGCTCGGAGAACAGCGTGCCCATGGGCATCGGCATTCTGGTCTTTGGTTTGCTTGAGAAAACAAACCACCTATAGGAAAATACCTCACAAGGACTGATTAGGGGACCTCGAGGTGTTTGGTCCACAGAGAAGCTGGGAGGCACGGAAAGCTCTCGGCCAAGAATCTGGAGGCTTCTAGGCCTACATGGTCCCACAGCCCCAGCCAGCAGCGTGTCCCAGGGCCGAGGGGGCCATGGCAGGGGCAGTGAGCTTCTTGGCCCTGGGCGTCTGCAGGCAGGTGGGGATGTTCTGGAGGGGGCTGCGCCCTCCGAGGGTTGTGATCTGTTTGTACCTTGTCCTGAATCAGAGGAAGTCATGCTGCCAGTTGTGTTTAAAAAGGTTTATACAAAGGAGTCCAAGCTTAGGTTTGATTTCCTGCCAGGGCAGGCCGGGCCAGGGGAGACTTCAAAGCCCACAGTGAAGGTGCGGTGAGCGATAGGGCTTCTGAGTGCCCCCTGCGGCCCAGGCCGGCGGGTCTAGAAACCCCGACCAGTCCTTGGGGGGCGGGGGGCTCCTGGATCAGCCCTTTGGGCTTAATCTGTCACACTGAGCATCTTGGTGAAATGTCTGTCTAGGTAGACACTCAAAGCTCTCCCCCTCTTTTGGGTCTCCCTCAGGCTTGTGGAGGCAGCCCTCCAGTGGGGAGGGGTCTGCATTCCCTGCCTGCAGCTTGGGTGTGAGTGCAGGGGCATACTGAAGAGAGCAGTACACTGAACCGCTGGTTTTACTTCTAGGTGAATCTGGCTTAGGAAAATCCACCTTGATTAACAGCCTGTTTTTGACTGATCTTTATCCAGAACGATACATTCCTGGAGCTGCAGGTATGTGGGACACAGGCCTGTGTGTGTTCATGCAGGCCAGTGGGCAGGAAAGCTCGCGAGCAGAATGAGTCGGAGCCCTCCCTGCCGGTCCAGTGACATGGCCAGTTGTCAGGCCACGGGCCTTGCTCCAGTCCAGGGCCTCTGGGAGGTGAAGACCAAGTTCTGGCGGGTGTGTGTGACAGAGTTTAGTTCTGGGGAGCAGCCCAGCCTCTGGCAGAGAGGCTCCTGGCAGGGGCCTGGGTTGTTGGAGGGACCCCCTTGGGAATGTGCAGCACTGAAGGCAGCCCTTTCTTTGTGCTGTCCAGGTTCTAGTTCCGTGGGCCTCTGGTAGCCTGGTGGGCACGCCCTTTGCTCTTTTTGTGCAGTTGGGGTTAAGTGACTTGCGCAGGGTCACACCACTGGTAAGTGTCTTAGGCTGACTTTGAACTCAGGTCCTCCTGACTCGGGGCCCCAGCTGCACCACCTAGCTGCTCCCATGCCCTCTGCTCTTGAGCAGCTTACTGTGCTCGTGGGAAGCTGGTGTGTCCTGACTGGCCTCTGCGGCCTGGCCCTGGCCGTCTTCCTCTGGCTGGGAAGGCCGTCTATGGTGCTCTGCTAGGCTGAGGCTGGGGGGGAGGGCCAGAAAAGGGAGTGCGTGGGGGTGGGCTGAAGACTCCAGGCTCCCTGGCTTCCTGGAGCAGGTAGGAGAGTGACCAGCTGCTCCTGGAGGACACATACTCTGGTTTGTCTCCTCTCGTCCATAGAATCCCTTTCCCACTGAGCAAACGCGGTGCCATTTAAGGGGAAGCCCGGTGTGCTCTGTGTGTGGGTCCCAGGGTGGTGCCAAGGAGGGCACGCCAGACTTGGAGTCAGGAAAATCTGAGCTTGAATCCTGCCTCAGACACTTCCCAGCTGGGTGACCCTGGACCAGTGTCCCCCTGTCTGGGCCTCAGCTTCCTCATCTGGAGATGGGGGCAATAATAGCACATACCTCCCAGGATTGGCGTTTACACACGCCAAGCGCTTTGCACAGTTAGAGGGGCTCCTGAACTACGAGGGGCCTTCCCCCCATCCTGACCTTACGTGTACAACCTGCCTGCTGCCTCTGGAGGCTCAGCTGGTGCTCTCAGTGCAGAGCTTGGGGAGTCCCGCGGTGCTGGGCTTGCCCTCTGTCCTTGGAGGACTCCCTCCCTCCAGGGCTTCATCCTGGGACAGCCTGCAGCCAGCCGGGGCAGTGTTCTGCCCAAATGCCCCCAGGGGCCTGTGCTGCCGAGGCCCTGGGGGGCTTTGCCAGGGCCTGCAGGGGCAGCCTGTTAGAGAGGCAGTGCCTTTGTGTTGGCTACATGTCTAAACTGTGAACTGCCCGTTTCTATTCCAGAGAAGATCGAGAGAACAGTTGAGATTGAAGCTTCTACGGTGGAGATCGAAGAGCGAGGAGTGAAACTCCGGTTGACGGTGGTCGACACACCGGGATATGGAGATGCCATCAATAGTCAAGACTGGTACGTTTAAGTGGGCGTGGTGGGCGCCAGGCTCAGAGGACTCCCGCAAGGACACGCCCTGGTGCCGAGGGTGCTCCTGGCTCAGAGCCTCGGGCAGAGGCATGCCTCATCACTTACTGTGTGCCAGGGCCCAGGGCACAAAGACAGGCAGAGACCTCTGGCCTCAAGGAGCTCACTTCACTGTTTGGTGTTCCTCACTGCTTCAGCCTGGCTGCTCAGTCTAACAAGCCAGTGCCTAAAGACCAAGTGTGGATGAAAAGGCAGATTTTAGGCCGGGCAGGTTTGTAAATGGGGCTGCCTTCAGGAACGCCGTTCCTGGGGATCGCCAAGAGCCCGCAGGGGCTGCTTAGGCGCTCCTCACACCTCTGGTCAGTGTTTTATGTAGCTCTTGTCTCCCCAGTACCGAGGGGAGCATTCACGTTCGAGGACGTTCCCTTCTGATGAGCCCCACGTGCTTTTTGGACTGCTCGCTCAAAAAGGCGGAGGTGGGGCCGGGGCAAGGTCGCGGATGCCATCGTGCAGAGAAAATGCTTCTATGGCTCCGTCTGTCCAGCAGAGGCCTCAGGGCCAGGCTGGGAGGCCCCTGGTCTGGCTGTCCAAGTGCAGACTGGACCAGTGGCCTGTGTCTTCCTGGAGGTGCCATGACTGTGTGTGTCACTGAGGAAAATGAGCAGAGAGGCAGAGAACCGGGCAGGGGGGCTAGGCCAGGCCTGCCCGGGGGGGCCTCTGCAGCACTTGAGAGAGAGCAGCAGCATCAGGGGCTCAGTCAGACAAGCTGCCCTGAGCACTTATTAAGTGCCTACTGTGTGCTCTGGAGGAGCTTATGTTCATTGGTGCAGCTCTCTCTCTCTCTCTCTCTCTCACACACACACACACACACACACACACACACACACACACACACACAGCTAGCTATATACCAAATGCACATCAGTGAGGCCCAGAGCAGCCTTGGCAAGGAAGGCACGGCCTCCCATGGCACTGTGACTCAGTTTGTGAGGAAGCCAGGAACGCCCAGAGGGTGGTTTGAGGAGAGGGAGCATTCTAGTCCCTGGCGTCAGCTAGCGCTTGATAATGGTGATATTAATGATGACGATAAACATTTCTGTAGTTGCCACTACATCGTGCTAAGTGCTCTTTACAAGTGTGATCTCATTTGATCCTCGCAACAACCCTGGGAGGTAGGTGCTCTTATTATCCTCATTTTAGAGGTGAGGAAATGAGACAAATGGTGAAGTGACTTGGCCAGGGTCACACAGCTAATAGCTGTCTGAGGCCAAATTTGAACTTGGGTCTCCTTGATTCCAGGCCTGGTCATCCATTATGATGCCACCTAGTGGCGAGACACAGGAATTAATAGTTGATCCCAGAGAGTTCCTAGAGATGCAAAACTCAGTAAACTCGAGCTGTTTTATTTGCTGTTGGTGACCAACTTGTAATTATACATTTTTACCTTCGGAGACACAGGCTCACCATCGCAACGTGGTCGGGGTTCAGCTGGTCCAATGTTATTTCATTGGTACAGTAGAGCAGTGTTTACAGAGTCTTTCAAATTTAGCAGCTCAAACCAAGAAAAGCTGAATTTTGGAAAACTCTGATGCCTTAAAAAATGTTAGCAGCTCATTTTGACATCGTTGTTAAACTTGAGTTTGTTGAGAAGGGGAGCGTCATGGTCAGATCTGCAGCATGGCCGCTGGGTGCAGGGTGGATCAGAAGAGGGGAGGGAGAGGGGCAGCTAGGTGGCACAGTGGATGGACCACCGTTCCTGGAGTCAGGAGGACCTGAGTTCAAATCCAGCCTCAGACACGTAGTACTTCCTAGTTGTGTGACCCTGGGCAAGTCACTTAACCCCATTGCCTAGCCAAAAAAAAAAAGGGGGGGAAGCTAATGAGAAGTCCCCTGTCCTAGTCCTGGGGACACAGGAAGGTCTGTGTGAGTGCAGAGAGGTAGCGGGGATAGAAATGTCACCATCAGCCACAGATCAGCTGCGTGAAGGACACGCATGAGGGAAATGGAAGTCAGGGAGAGGCCAGTGTAGCCTCAGCAGCAGCCCGGAAGCTCAGAAGCCCGGGGCTCGGAAGGAGGCGGATGAGATCGGGATTGGACATCCTGGGCCAGCTGGGGACGCAGAAGCCTGACTCAGATGGGATTGTCACTGCTGAGGCTTGTTGGACCTTGGGCAAGCCCCTGAGGTGAAAGCGTGGGCTGCCCATTTACGGAGGAGGCCCTGAGGGCCAGAGAAGCTGAGACTCTTGCTAAGAAGGCTTGGAGCCCAGCTCTCTCTGGAGCCCCTCTCCCTGCCCCCTTTTTCAGTGGGGGGCCGTTCCCCTGGCCTCTCTGGGAGTGACTGGGATCAGAGAGCCTGGGGTTTGAGGAGGCTGCTGTCACCAAAGGGAAGGGAGGGCGGGCACAGGATGGGACCTGCCCACTGCCCGCCTGGCACCATCTCTGTAGCTAGCCTGCTGGGCCGCTAGCCGCCAGCTCGGGTCTCCAGATTCCCTCTCCTGATAGATGGGGTTGGACCGGATTGTTCCTTGAAGGTGTTCTTATGCAGGGTTGCTTGCCAACCTGGGTGCTTTCATTTCTGTTTCTGAAGCACGGTCACTGTTGGTCACTGTCGACAGCCGCAGCACCCACGTGGACGGGCAGTCGGAGCCCAGACTGAGCCTGTGCGGCCCGGCGGGCAGCCTGGCTCTGCAGTGTCAGCATCGGGAGTGTGTCCAAGGGGTGGGTGGGCCTTGAGCCGTGACCTCTGCCTGTCTATTTATCTCTGCCGCTTCCTCTGAAGCAGATGTCTCTGCTGCTAGGAGAGGGTGCTTGGGGGGAGAGGGGCTGGACAGGAAAATGTGGGGAGGGTCAAGGGGAAGGACAGCCTTGCAATTGTGAACGAGACTTCTGGCTTTGAGTGTCTCGAGGAGTGTGCGCGCCCTTCCTGCGTCTTTGTTCTGCGCCTCCTGACATCTTGAGCACAGTCATGCTGAGAAGGGGCTGAGAAGGCAGAATCTCAGCCACACCGAGTCCCTCACCTTATTAACCGCTCCCCCTGCCTCCCCCAGCTTTTAGAAAGGCATCATGGGTGAGCAGAAAGCATGCTGGGTTCCTAGGCCAGTTGACTCGCGTTCAGATCTTGGTGCTACCGTTTTGTGACCCTTGGTTTGCACATCTGTAAAATGGGCCAGTAACCACAGTACCACCTACCTACCCTGCAGGGAGGTTGTGAGGGTGGTGCTTTGGAAGCCTGTCAGTGCTGTGTAGATGGGAAGGGTCATTGTGGGGAATGAGTAGGGCGTCTCCTGTGTTTGACTTGTGTCCTCAATGGCCAGTGCAGAGCAGGCCCTGTAAAAGTGTGTCTTCAAAGAAAATCAGTTGCTTTGATCATCAGGGGCTTAACAGCATTTATTTTTTGTGAGGAAGTTTAATTCACGACAGTGTATCTGCCACTGAATTCTCTCTCCTCTCCTGTGGCCCCTCACCAGTGGCCCTATGTGTCTGAGTCACTTAGCTCCTGGCACAAAGGGCGACAAAGTCAGCATTGTTTCCCTTTCTCTATGGCCAAGCTCTGCTCCAGATAGCCCTCTTCTCAGCCCATCTGCCTTTGGTTCTCTGGGTGCCTGGGGCAGGACAGCTGGCCTTTGAGTATCCGTCCATGCTCCTCTTCCCTTCACTGGTGTGGGTAGCAGCCCCCCCTCTATCCATCCGTGCTCCTCTTCCCTTCCCCGGCACAGATGGCAGCCCCCCTCTATCCGTCCATGATCTTCTTCCCTTCACCGGCACAGGTAGCAGCCCCCCTCTGTCTGTCCATGCTCCTCTTCCCTTCACTAGTGTGGGTAGCAGCCCCCCAGCCCGCAGGAGGTGGCATTCATTGGTATCTCTGGCTGACCTTTTGATGAGCTGCCCCAGGCTGGGCCTTGGATAGAGGTCAGTCAGCACCATTTATTAAGCACCTACTCTGTGCTGGGCCTGGAGCTAAGTGGAGAAAGCGAATCCCTGCCCTCAAGGAGCTTACATTCTAATGGGGAGACAATGGAGAGGGGCAGGGGAAGGGTCCCCAGGCTTCAGGCCAGCACAGGAGCCTGATGGGAAAGGCAGTGATGGCTGGCCTGGAGCCTCCTTCAGTGGTGGTTCTGAGAGGAGGGGCCCAGGGGCTGAGGCGACTGCCATGGTGGCAGTTCTGGGGCATGGTGGGACGTCTGGGGGAGTGCAGCCAGGCAGGAACTGGAAGTTTGTCTGGGCCCCTCCTTGAGTCCCTCTGATCAGGTCGGCGATCACCTCCATCCTGGGAGGAAGGCCTGGGGGACGGCTCCCAGGCATCCCTCAGCCCAACCACAGATGTTTGTGAAGCACAGGGCATGTGGGGTCCTGTGCCATGCTCAGAGGAGACAGACCAGTGGGGGCCACCATGTTGGAGGACACCTGCCTCCTGGTGGCCCTGGGTGCCCTGCCTGTGTGTAGGCCCTGGGGTTCGGGCGAAAGCCCAAACAATGGGCCGCCTTGTGTTGGTAGAACACAGTGCTTTTTATTTTTTTTTAATTAACTTATTTTGAGTTATCAACATTACTTCCATAAGCTTTTGAGTTTTAAATTTTTCTCCCCCTCCCTCCCTCCCTCTCCAAGAAGGCCTGCAATCTGATATGGGCTATACGTATACATTCCTATTAAACATGTTTTCACATTAGTGATGTTGTAAGGAAGAATTAGAACCAATAGGAGGAACCACCAGAAAGAGGAAACGAAACTCAACAGAAAAAAAAATCAAATAATATGCTTCGATCTGCATTCAAACTCCATAGTTCTTTCTCTGGATGTGGATAGCATTTTCCATCATGAGGCCTTTGGAGATGTCTTAGATCCTTGCATTGCTGGGAAGGGCTAAGTCTATCAATATTAGTCATTGCACAGCGTGGCTGTTACTGTGTACAGCGTCCTCTTGGTTCTGCTCACTTCACTCAGCATCAGACCTTGCAAGTCTTTCCAGGTTTTTCTGAAGTCAGCCTGCTCATCATTTCTTATAGCACAATAATATTCCATTACATTCATATACCACAGCTTGCTCAGCCATTCCCCAATTGATGGGCATCCCCTCAATTTCCAGTTCTTTGCCACCACAAAAAGAGCTGCTATAAATATTTTTGCACATGTGGGTCCTTTTCCCATTTGTATGATCTCTTTGGGATATAGCTGGGTCAAAGTGCTATTGCTGGGTCAAAGCGTATGCACAATTTTGTAGCCCTTTGGGCATAGTTCCCAATTGCTCTCCAGAATGGTTGGATCAGTTCACAACTCCACCAACAATGCATTAGTGGAACGCAGTGCTTTTTGAGGCACTTTTGTCATCATGAACTTAGGGGATCTCCAGAGGCAGCTGGGCAGGCAACAGATGAAGAAGCCAAGGCTCAGAGCTAGGGAATGTTCTCCTGTTTCTTTTTCTTTCTTTTTTTTTTTTGGTTAGGCAGTGGGGTTAAGTGACTTGCCCAGGGTCACACAGCTAATGAGTCCTAGGGAATGTTTTCAAAGGGCTAGGTGAACCTGCAGGCGCTCTATCTGTGTCATCTGGTGATGGCAAAGAACCTCAGCCACTAGGGAGTGCCGCTGTGCCCTGGGCCCAGCGTCAGGAAGGCCTGAGTTCAAATCCAGCCCCTGACGTTTACTAGCTGTGGGACCCTGGGCAAGTCACTTGAACTGCGTGTGCCTCAGTTTCCTCCAATCAGAATGGGGATGGTAACGGTGCCTCCCTCCCGGGGTGGTGGCCCGGACGTGGAAGCATTCGCGACGCTCGCTCTCTCAGTGCGAGCCCCTGTCAGCGCTCTTGCCTTGGCTCTCGGCCACGCCTTCTGCTCCGCGGTCATCCAAGGGCCACTGGAGCAAACTGCTCTTTCCTGCCTCGGGGAGGGGGGCAGCGCCAGGGTGATGGGCAAGACGGGCAAGTGCTGGGGTCCAGCTCTCCGGGAGCTTCCTTTTCAGAAGCGGTTGTACAAAAGTAGCTGGCATTCTTTTTTGTTCTATTTTTTGGCCAGTCAGCAACCATTGATTAAGCGCCTGCTGTGTACCTGGCACCATACCAAGTGCTGGGGATCTCTGCCCTCATCTAGTTCACCTTCTAATAGGAGAGATCATACAGACCGCTGTTTGCGGCATACCTGGGCGGTGATCTCGGGGAAGGCCCTACCATGGGGTGTCTGGGAAGGAAGGCAAGGTCTGAGTCGAGTCTCCAGGGAAGCCAAGGGTGGCCAGAGAAAGGCATGGGGCTGAGAGACGGCCTGTCCTGTCCCACAGGCCCCGCAGGGCCCACAGAGTGAGCAGGTGTGAATGGGTGTCTGTCTGCCTTACTGCAGGAAGCAGCCACTAAGGAAAAGTGTCCTGGATGGAATGGGCTGCCCCTTAGTGGCTTGGAAGCCCTGAGGCAGAGAGTGGCCCACTCTGTGTCCCTGTCGGTGGAGCGGTGGCTGAGTGGCTTGTCGAGGTGGGGGTGGCACGAGGCCAGGAGGGCAAGGGCCACGGGCCAGCGTAGGTGGCCGTGGCGTCTCACTGCACCTCCCTGGGTCTCACTCAGCGTTAGTGTGAAGAGGTTCTTCTGGCCTCCGTTTTCAGTGTGTTCATTCTTCCAGCACTGGGGCTTGTTTTAGCTCGCCCCGGTGTCCCTCACCCCCACCCCAAGCTGGAACATCTGCTGTGGATGTGTCTGGAATGCAAGTGCAGCATATGCCCCCGCTCCTGAGTGTGGAGAGCAGAGTGATGTCAAGGCAGGTGTTTCCTGGAAGTCAGGCGGCCCTGTGCGTTGCTTGCCGGGCCAGGTCTGGAGGGGATTTACAGCAGCCAGGCTGGGACAGGACGTGGAGGCGAGGCTGTTTCCACCAAAGGCTTGGCCAGGAATATTCTCCCCCATTGTTTGGGCTTCCCCTCCTGCCTGGGCTTCAGATTCCTCTGAGATGCTCACGAGGGATTATCCTGAGGGGTGGGTGTCTTGGTGCTTCAAGGAGCTGGGGTTTTTGGGGGTGTGGGCACTGCCCCCTCAGTAACTGAGGAGCTAGGCTCTGACAGTTGCTGTGGCTCCCAGTCATTGTCCTGCAGCCATCCTGACATTGACCTTCTTGGTCTTGGCTAGCCCCGGCCTAGGCCTGGAAGCCTTCCCACTTGGGTAGCACTTACTGGAGATTTGCCCTCCTGGTGCCTCGGCCACGGTGAGGCACGTTGACAGCCAAAGGAATTGTCTGCCTTTCACCCCAGCTCCTTTCTGGGAGAGTGCAGAATGGCACAGGTGAGGTGGGCCACACACCTTTGGAGAGGCTGACCATTGGTACTCAAGAGAATGCTCATAATCGAGGCATTTCCTAGGCTGTTGGAGCTGGGAGGGGCCTTTGGATGAGGAGCTGGCTGGCTCTGGGAAGGAGGGGCTGCCCGGGCTCTGTTTTACTGATGGGGAAACTGAGGCTGAGGGAGCACCAGGGCTGGGAAGGATCTCAGGGACTGTGCAGTGCAGCTCCCACATTTTATTTTATTTTCACGAGGTCAAACATTTCAGTAGCCGAAGAACAAAAGGGACAGGGTTGTGTGGGAAACTCCAGTTCCCCGGAAGCCAGAAGTGCCTTGGCCGTCCTGCTGCCAGGGCCTCCTGCGGAGCTTGCTCCTGCTCTCTTCCGTGTGTTTCAGGCGTGTTCCCTTGAGGCTCTGTTCCCATCACTCTCCCGCCCCGCCCCGCCTTGTAACTGGAAAAATTGCACTCTTCCCTGGAGCTCTTCCTGGGGCCTGGGGTGCAGCCTGTACCCACCCCCGCTCACCTCTCCATTGCCCTCTGGGTGATGCCCAGCTCTAGTTCTGTGTGGGCCATGCTGCTGTAGAGCGACCCTGGTGGAACGTCCGTATTGAAAAGATGTGAGGATGACGGTGCCCATGGCCGTTCCTCAGTGACCTGCCTGTGGTCAAGGTAGTAAGTGTTGGGGGCCGGATGAGTCCAGGGCTCCTGCCTCTGAGACCATCTGTATCCGTGATTTTGCTGCAGCCCCCCATAAGCACTTAACTCCAGGAACCTGACTGCTAATTGAGAGGATATCTTGGACCAGGCATTTGTCAGAGAGTGGTCCTTTTTGTTTCTTTCCACCCCATTTTGATATCTCCGCATGAGGCTGATGTCTCCCTATGGAAATGAATACCCACTCATTCCCGACACAGCTCAGCGGTGGTGGGAAGCTCTCTCACGATGGGCAGTGTTTTAGTTCACCAACAGAAGGGTGGGCATAGGATGTGGCAGGAGTTTTCCTCCTGGGCCTGTGATTCCATGATACCGTGCTGTCTCTCCTGCAGAATCAGCCAATGTGACTCCGCTTGGGGTTGGTGTTTTTGAGTATTCATCTTTTCCTCCAATGCTTTTTTTCCTTTTCTCGTCAGTATTCTAACCCCCGTTTTACAGACACACTAAGGGGTGGGGATTGCCCAGTTACACGAGAGTACCCCTTCCTGGGCTGCTCTTCAGACAGATCCTGAAAACCTCTTTTCCCTCTCCCACTGCAGCTTCAAAACCATCATCTACTACATCGATAATCAGTTTGAGCGGTACCTTCATGATGAGAGCGGGCTGAACAGGCGCCATATTGTGGACAACCGTGTCCACTGCTGCTTTTATTTCATCTCCCCTTTTGGTCATGGGTAAGTAAAGATGCAGAGACTCTGATCTGAGGCAGTTCTGGGATTTAGGGTGCCAGCTGCCCCCAAATCGATGCAGGGGCATAAACTCTTCTGTTAGGGGACTAGGTCATTCCTGCACTGTCGGCTGGCCAACTGAATTAAAAGCATCTTTGGGATCAGTGCTGCCTTCTGTTTGTCTGCATTCTTGTAGGAATTTAATTTTACTCTAGAGTTGGCATTGAATTGTGACTGGAAAGGCTGAAAATTGACAGGAGATGTATAGTTCCTCCCAGAGTCCTTCAGCCATGACTTAAGCATCTGAAGGAATGGCTCCTGCCAACGGAAGCATTTTTATCCTCCGTGGGGCCCTGCAGAATGGTCCTCTGTGCTTCTGACTTGGCCAGGGCTCTCAGAGCTGAGCGTCACTCCCTGGCCAAGCTGTCGGTGTCCTTCCAGGCTGAAGCCACTGGATGTGGAGTTCATGAGAGCGCTCCACGGCAAAGTGAACATCGTGCCGGTGATTGCCAAGGCGGACACGCTGACGCTGAAGGAGCGAGAGAGGCTGAAGCATAGGGTAGGTGCCGGGTATGGGAAGAGCCAGCCCGAGGGCCAGGGCCAGTGCGAGGGGGTGGGCTGGCAGTGTGTTTGTTTAAAAGAAGATGTTAGAAACCTGGTGCAGGATTGCTGGGAGGGAAAGTCTGGTAATGAGGCCAGCTGTGAGGTTGGGAGATGGACCTAGCTCTTTTTCAGATACAGGTAAGATGTAGGGTTTTATGTTCCTTTTAAAGAATTGCAATAGGTTGAAATGTTTGCCATTGTGGACGTAGAAGTAGACGCTTTCTCAGAAAGCCTTCACATTTGAATTGATTCTTCTCAAACTGTGGATGGTGAACTCCGTGCCCATTTCTAGAAGAAGCCTCATTTTGACTTGGAAGGCATGTGTGGTTGAGGTGACCCCGGGGCTGGGTTTTAAAAAATGGGTGGCGACCCACCAGGCCGAGATGGGGAGGAAGGGTTTCCACAGCCAAGGATGGGTGGGAGTGAAGGGTCAGAGCTAGGCCAGGGACCTGTTTCTGACACGTTGTGGCTGTGCCACACTGGCCAGGCCACTTGACTTGTCTTAGCCTGGGTTTGCTTCTGTGTCAATTGGACGTGATCGTGCATTGCCAGCTACCTCATGGAGGGGCTAGGCATAAAGAACCCTGAAGTGCGACAGAGATAGGAGGTGTTATTATAGTAACGATGCCTGACTGCTCTTATTTACAACAGTTTTTATAGGAAATAACCCATTTCAGTAGGCTTCCGTTCCCTCCCTGTTCACATCAGCCCTCCTTCATGAGGCCATCCATAACTAGGCTGCTAGGCATCCTAGTGGATGGAGCTTTGGATGAAGAGCCAGGAAAACCCGAGTTCCAGTCCTGCCTCAGGCACTTTGTGGCTTTGTGACCCTGGGCCAGACATTTAACTTTTATCTTTTAACATGTAAAGTGGGGGTAAAAACCTGCCCTACCTTACAGGATTATTGTGGGTTAACATACAGCGTTTTAATCACTATCTACCATGATTATTAAGACCTAATTAACTGCAAACTGTTAGTAGAGAAATTTTTACCTGATAATTTGTTGTTAAAGTTATAAGGAAGAGAGAAAACCAGAGACACCATCGTGTACCATTTACACTTCACATCTGTAATTCCTCCCGTCTCCAACATCCCAACTGTCCTAAACTGAAATGTTCCCTAGCACCCTTCCTAACGTTACAATTCACCAAGTAAAACATACACTTGGAAGTGCGTAGGAGGAAAGGAACAGGGAGGAGGGACTGTCTAAACAACAAACCCTCCCTACTCCTGCCATCTTTACAGTGCTTCCCTTGCTAATTCAATTTAGGCGGAGTGGGCGGTGGGACTCGTTTCATCCTAACTCCTTACAGAATGGTCATGGGATTTCCAGCCATATCCTCAAATGGATGTGTGGTCTCATCATGGTGGCTGATGGTGACCCCAGTCCAGACTTGCCTGCCCATTCTGTAGGACTCTTTCTGTTCATTTCCTGCTGGGGCCTTCCTCTGTTTCCTTTGACATCGCATGGATGCCAGAGCCGCACAGACTGTCCATGAGTTCTCTCTCACTCTTGACAGGTGGCCAGCCCGTCTCTTTGGATTATATGTCTCTCTTATGAATCCTTTGTCAATCGATTGTGAGCTATAACGTTTTTGATTCAGTAACATTGCCTTAAGGGAGGAAGGTGGTAATGTGAGGTTTGGGAACTTGTTTTTTTAAATGTTTTGATAACTGTTTCAATGGAATTGGTTTCCTTTGTAATCCTGTATATTTTATGTATTTGCGAATATGATTCTGAGAAGGGGCTCATGTACTTCCCAGACTCACTGCCAAGGAGGCCTAGACCCAACAAGGTTGAAGAAGCCCTGCTTTACTTCTGGGAACACCGGGAAGCAGTCTGGCAGAAAGTGGGCATAGACCAGCAATCACCATATGCCAAGAGGAGCTCAAATGGTGACGGGATCTAGACATAAAGGATGACATCCTGAGCAGATTAGAAGATCACCGAAAAAATGACCTGTCAGATCTCTGGAGCAGGGAAGCTTATGGCCAGATAAGAGACAGAGGATTATGGGACAGAAAATGGATCATTTTGATGAGATGTGATTAACAAGTTTTTCACAATTGATCCAAATGCAGCCAAAAGTAGAAACAAAACTGGAAACTGGGGAAAATTTTTGTAGCCAGTTTCTCTAATAAAGGCCTCTTTCTCAAATATATAGGGAACTGAGCCAAACTTATAAAAATAAGAGACATTCCCCAGTTGACAAATGGTCAAAGGGTGTGAACAGACAGCCTTCAGAAGTCAAATCTGTAGTCATATAAAAAAGCTCTAACTTGCTGTCAGTTGGAGAAATGCAGATTAAAACCACTCTGAGGTGCCACCTCCCACCCATCAGATTGGCTCACGTGACAGCAAAGGAAAATGGCAAATGCTGGAGGGGATGTACGACAACAGGGACACCAATGCCCTGTGGGTGGAGGGTCCGGCTGGCAGCTGGAGATGCAGGGCAGGCCAACCATTAAGACAGGGCCGAAGGGGGCAGTTAGATGGTGCAGTGGATAGAGCACCGGCCCTGAAGTCGGGAGGACCTGAGTTCAAATCCAGCCTCTAACCAATCACTTGACAGTTACTAGCTGTGTGACCCTGGGCAAGTCACTTAACTCCAATTGCCTAAAAAAAAAAAAGACAGGGCTGAAGGAGTGTGGAAGGGCACGTGTCAGGGCTCTGTAGGTTGGAGCGTGTCCCTGAGGATGAGATGTACCTGAGAAGTGGTAGGCGGAGCTCAGAGGTGGGCGACTGAGAAAGGAGGAGCGTCCTGCTGGTGCCGAAGCCTTAGCGGGGCCAGAGGAGGGTCACCACTGGTGTTATTGGAGTTGCCCTAGATGAGAAGGCATGGAAGGAGTGCCCACTAGCCCACCGCCAATGGGTGGAGCCACCCTGGATGGAAAGAGCCTCGTGAGTTTTTCCATCTTTCTCCACATCCATTGTGCGTGTGGTTTCTTGGCAGCTTTACGTATCAGTTGTTTAGCCATTTCCCCCAGGTGATGGGCGTCTGCCTTGTTCCCAGGTCTTTTCAACCACCATGAGTGCCGCTGTAAATGTTTTGGGACACATGAGACCCTTTTTGTTCTTGTCCTCTTTGGGGTACATGCCTGGCACCCACATCTGAACAGCTAACATTGACCTTTGAGAGCATGTTGACATTAGCAGCCGTCCATGGAGTTTCCATTTTAATGTGGAGTTCTCTCCCCATAGATTAGTCTTCCAAGTATTGGCGAGTGGTCATGGGCTTTGAGCACACATCCTGTCATAAAAGGCTTCGTTTCTTAGTGAGATGCCCCTTTGATGCCTCATGCTCTTGGCACGAGCCTAATTTCAGTTCCAAATAGAAAAGAGAAAGAATTTAATTTGAGTGGCCAGACCCACCACCAAGGTTGTCCAAGGCGCCTCTCTGCCTCTCAGGGCGGAGGGAGCAGGCCTGCTGATGAGGCCATCATTTTCGGGAAGGATCTGAGAAGGCCTTGGGTCACAGCCCGGGACACCAAGCTGATTGATTTGCCCTGACATTGAGCTGCTTCCTGTTGGGCTGAAGGAAAGAGAATGAGGGGAGTCATCTCTTTTCCTTGGAAGCGATGACACATTTGTATGCACAGGTTGGCCGTGTTATGTTGTTCCAAGTATACCTTGCTTTGGAGGAGCGTGTCAAGTGGTTCCAAGAAAGCAGTGGGTGTGTTTTCTCAGGGGAAATGACTGTGTATTATTTCAGCTCGGGACGTCTTGGTGAGAAGGTGACTGATCAGTGGCGAGGGTCGGGGACTTTGCCGACATGATCACAAGAGCTGACGGGTTTTAGAAGTCGCTGCCATTTGGCGGCCAATCTGAGGCTGGGGACGCTTTGTTTTGCTTTTTCAAGCTCGGCAGAGAGTCCTCGAGAAGGAAGCTCCGCTCGGCGTCGTTCCTGTTTGGTCTTGCTGCGATTCAAAGCCCTTTTCCCCACCGTCGCCCCCTTCCATGGGAAGCGCGGAGGAAGCCTGCCTGCAGGCCTGCCTTCACGGGAGGGAGCGGGCACATGGGTGTTGGCGCTGTTCCTGTCTTTACGGTTCCCAGGGGAAGCTAATCTTGAGAAACACAGAACCTCCGGAGACCAATAAAGGGGACGGCGGGAGAAGCAGAATGGGCCCATTGTTGAGCCGTGAAATAGAGTTTGTTTTTATTGCCTTTCTTTTATCCTGCAGGAAGGCCCCGGGTTTAGCAGCTGGGATGTGTTATCTTGCATCCCTGGTTTTGGCTTTCCCTCTATTGTTTGTGCTGCCTTTTTATCCCACCACCGCTGACAAGTTAAATGGGCTTCGTGTTTCATGTGTTCACCTCCTGTTCCCTCAGGACCACCGAGGCGGGTGGGTCTGGCTTGTCTCTGAGCTTCCCTGCTTGAAAAACCAGTGGGCTCCCACTCGTCTCCAAGAGGAAGGGCTTCACGCTCCTTAGCTAAGCTCCTCATCCCCGAGCACTCTGACTCCTGCCTCCCTTTACAACCACCTTTCTTACCGTTGCTGTTCATGGGCCCTGTGTGCAAACCAGGCCCTGAAGCTGAGATTCCATGTCCTCCCTCCGCACCTTTGCATCAGCCGGGCCCCACACTTAGGCTGCCCTCCCCCGCCATCCTCTGCTCCTCCCGTTAGTCTCAGCCTCTTACGTTCACCTTCTCCTCTTACTTATCTGTGTGTTCTTGCCCCAGAAGAAGGTGAGCCTCTCCTGAGCAGTGTGTGGCCCCAGGACCTTCCAGCGTGTCTTGCGTGGGATGGAAACTTAACCAACCAACAGGAGTCTCCTGTTGCAGGCCCTGGGAAGGGAGACACAAACTCAAGCCTGCCCTGCCTGCTCTCCAGGACTTAGTAAGGTGGGATTGATTTCCCCTGGAGAAGATAGAGCTTGTGGCCTCCGTAGGACTGGGCTGCAAAGGGCCCAGCCCAGGACGTCTCCCCGTTGCAGCTCAGCCTGCCTCCTATCT